TTGGTATGATAACCGGGAAAAAAACACGCCAGGAGTAAATGGTTGAAGGGGGAAGAGCCAATTAAACCCGGGCTAGGTTCACTAAAACAAAGTATATCTAGTTACGAGCTGCTTAACTCCCCAAAAAACCTAAATCCCCCTAATAACCCCCCCCCCCCTTTCAGGGAAAAAAGTTTTTTCCCCCCCCCCCCCCCCATCTTTTAAGCCCCCTGCCCTCCACCTTCACTAATAAATGATAGACTGTATAAATCAATCACGACTTTAAAACGTTGTGTGGACTGATCCGCGATGGTGTTTTTATCAGCTGGAAGTTCAGATTTGTAGATTGACCAAGAAGGCCTGGGCAAATGCCGTACACAGACTAGGCAAGAACGGCATGAGAGTAGTTCACGGCTGTGGTTAGCAGAAGGTGTAGCCTATTTCCTTTTCGTAAATGGTCGTTGCCATCTTTAACGATCGATGCCACCATTTGAAACCAGGTCTTTGGTCATGATACACGTAATACATTCCCTGGATGAAGTTACAATGAGGCAAAAAAAAAATACGTCTTTGAATAGTTTTGGAAAGAAGGATGTTAAAGCCCAAGTTGAATTCACGTTAAAAGTTACAGAAAGGGCAAGGATCACCTGTTACTGATGTATCAGTTAAGGAAGACAGCTTGCTAGTTTATGTACTTAGATTTTTCGGAATTTTGCACGGTCGGTGTGGTAGTGTAGTGGTAAGGGAGAGAGATTAGGATAAGAAAGGTCCAGATTTCCACCCTGGGTTGCGGTCTTCTTACTCTCAATAACAGGTGGAAAATTTTCTAAGTGTCTTACAAATGGCAGCGACCGTTGACGAAAGGGAATTTTGCGACCGTTTGGGAAACCAGCGAAACTTACTTGAAGACTTCACGATGAACATGCTGTAACACCACTGGTAAGAGAATGACTTTAAATATCAAAGCGGGAAGATAATGATGTATGAAAAGCGTTCTGTCCACAGGGAAAAACGTAACGAAGTGAAGAAAATATCCTAAAACCACTGCTTCGCCGACGAACACAAACTGCCGCCATGAACCTGGCAAAACGAAGAGAAAGAAGATTCAGGGTTCATACAAAAAATCCAACCATTTTTAAGGACTTTTCAAGGACCCCATTCGATTTTCAAGGACCACATACCAGGAATGTAATTTCACAGATTATACAAAAATGCAGTCCATTCCATTCTATCGGAAAGGATTAAACTGTTTGCTCCACCAACTTCTCTACATTTCTGTTCAATTGTCTTCATTTTTGTAGTTAATTATTGCATAAAATAAAAAAGACGCTTTATGTAAATCACCTTTAGCTTCCCTGAGCTATGATTTATATTCTGTCGTGTACAACCAAAAAGCATTTAAAAAAGACTTTCTAGGCCACTACATTCAAAGTTGAAGAACATTCAAGGACTTTTCAAGGATTTCCCCAAAATTCAAGGACTTTTCAAGACTGTGCGGACCCTGAGACAAAAGACCTCTCTATAAACATACCTTCCGATATATCATGCACTTTCCTTCTTCTCCGTAATAAATAGAAAGCTAAAAGGCCAAAGTAGATAGGAATAGACAGCGTGGTTGCCCACCAAACAAATGGATTACCAATACAGAATATTTGAGCCTAAAAACAGACAAATAAAAATTACAATGAGAAAGGCACTTTCATATTCACTGTCCCATAATGAAGCTTCATGTTGTCTTCTCATAAACATAATAAAGCATCTAAATCACTGTCAGTTAAAAGGCACTGGCCTGTCTCTAAGTTTTTAATCCTTTTCACAGTGTTTGGATATCAGATGAAACACTTCTTCTCGTATTTGATAATCACTCCTCGGTGTGAACATAAATTCCTTCTCTTGTCTGATATATTACTTCTCATTGTTTGGATATCAGATGAAACACTCCTTCTCATGTTTGATATATTTTTCCCAGTGTTTAAATATCTAATGAAACACTCTTTCTCGTGTTGGACATATTACTTTTCGATGTTTGGATATCAGATGATACACTCCTTCTCGTGATTCATGTATTTTTCTCAGTGTTTAGACATCTAATGAAACACTCTTTCTCGTGTTTGATATATTACTTTTCGATGTTTGGATATCGGATGATACAATCCTTCTCGTGATTGATATATTTGTCTCGGTGTTTAGACATCTAATGAACACCACTCTTTCTCGTGTTTGATTAATTACTTCTCAGTGTTTGGATACCAACTAAAACACTCCTCGTGTTTGATACATTACTTCTGAGTGCTTGGATATCAGATAAAACACTCCTCGCGTTTGATATATTACTTCTTGACGTTTGGATATCAGATGAAACACTCCTCGCGTTTGATATATTACTTCTCGCTGTTTGGATATCTAATGAAACACTTCTCATGTTTGATACATTATTTCTCAGTGCTTGGATATCAGATAAAACACTCTTCGTGTTTCAGTGGTATATCACTTCTTGTTGTTTGGATATCACATTAAACACTTAACTTGTGTTTGATTAATTACTTCTCAGTGTTTGGGATATCAGATTGACACTCCTCGTGCTTGATGTATTACTTCTCGATGTTTGAATATCAGATGAAAGATTCCTTCTCGCGTTTGACATTTTTATCTCGGTGTTTGGATATCCAATGAAACACTTCTTCTCGTGTTTGATATACTAGGGAGCTTAAACAACAACAACGGCAACGGCTACGAAAAAGTGAAGTCGCGTTAAACGTCATTGCACTTATTCCATCTCGTTCAACTCATCAAATGTGGGACATTTGGTCTGGAGTTGAATTCTAAAATACCGTATCGAAGTGCAGGACAAGAAAGACAAAGTCGTCTTGTGCTCACGTCCTCCACAAAACGTGAAATAAGGCACTTTCACGTCTAAGTCGGGCAGTGAGGGCAAAGAAATGAACAAAAAAGCGTGATGCACGTAAAAAGTTGTTGTTTTGCCAATCTAAACCTATTGCTTTTTAGACGTTTTCGTTGACGTCGACGTCGTCGTTGTTTAAGCTCCCTATTAAGTCGTAGATGGGAGGATATGACTAAGGCTGGCGTATCTCCATGCTTCTAGCCTTAACCCTTTCACTGCCAAATTTAGCCAACAGCAAATTTCGACCAAATTTCCAAATTTCACTTTGTGAAATTTTGAAAAAATAAACAGCACCATGTGTAAGTACAGGCAGAGAGGTTTCATTTGAATGGTCACATCATAGGATTTCGTCCGCAGACTCAAAAGTTAGAGTCACCTTACAAAACTCCATCAAGTACTCCGGCAGTGAAAGGGTTAAAAGAAAATCGCTAACACTAAACCTTACATTGTTGTCTTTAGCAATCCAATAAGCAACTCCTCTTCTCATCAGAGGCCACCAAGAAGGACGAGAACCAAACGTATGCTCGTTAGAAAGTTCCTTTTTAGGCTCTATCATTTTCAGCTGAGAAGGTATTTAGAAAATGGCGGCAATAATTAATGAATGATCTAACATGATAATACAAACGGCAACAAAGCAGTGGAGCTTGAAGTACAGTTGATAAACTCTGTTTAGAAGCTGTTATGATTAAGATGTTGTTTAAGAAATTTAGTTATCCAGCCAAGCCATTATATTGTAAANAAAAAGACGCTTTATGTAAATCACCTTTAGCTTCCCTGAGCTATGATTTATATTCTGTCGTGTACAACCAAAAAGCATTTAAAAAAGACTTTCTAGGCCACTACATTCAAAGTTGAAGAACATTCAAGGACTTTTCAAGGATTTCCCCAAAATTCAAGGACTTTTCAAGACTGTGCGGACCCTGAGACAAAAGACCTCTCTATAAACATACCTTCCGATATATCATGCACTTTCCTTCTTCTCCGTAATAAATAGAAAGCTAAAAGGCCAAAGTAGATAGGAATAGACAGCGTGGTTGCCCACCAAACAAATGGATTACCAATACAGAATATTTGAGCCTAAAAACAGACAAATAAAAATTACAATGAGAAAGGCACTTTCATATTCACTGTCCCATAATGAAGCTTCATGTTGTCTTCTCATAAACATAATAAAGCATCTAAATCACTGTCAGTTAAAAGGCACTGGCCTGTCTCTAAGTTTTTAATCCTTTTCACAGTGTTTGGATATCAGATGAAACACTTCTTCTCGTATTTGATAATCACTCCTCGGTGTGAACATAAATTCCTTCTCTTGTCTGATATATTACTTCTCATTGTTTGGATATCAGATGAAACACTCCTTCTCATGTTTGATATATTTTTCCCAGTGTTTAAATATCTAATGAAACACTCTTTCTCGTGTTGGACATATTACTTTTCGATGTTTGGATATCAGATGATACACTCCTTCTCGTGATTCATGTATTTTTCTCAGTGTTTAGACATCTAATGAAACACTCTTTCTCGTGTTTGATATATTACTTTTCGATGTTTGGATATCGGATGATACAATCCTTCTCGTGATTGATATATTTGTCTCGGTGTTTAGACATCTAATGAACACCACTCTTTCTCGTGTTTGATTAATTACTTCTCAGTGTTTGGATACCAACTAAAACACTCCTCGTGTTTGATACATTACTTCTGAGTGCTTGGATATCAGATAAAACACTCCTCGCGTTTGATATATTACTTCTTGACGTTTGGATATCAGATGAAACACTCCTCGCGTTTGATATATTACTTCTCGCTGTTTGGATATCTAATGAAACACTTCTCATGTTTGATACATTATTTCTCAGTGCTTGGATATCAGATAAAACACTCTTCGTGTTTCAGTGATATATCACATCTCGTTGTTTGGATATCACATTAAACACTTAACTCGTGTTTGATTAATTACTTCTCAGTGTTTGGGATATCAGATTGACACTCCTCGTGCTTGATGTATTACTTCTCGATGTCTGAATATCAGATGAAAGATTCCTTCTCGTGTTTGACATATTTATCTCGGTGTTTGGATATCCAATGAAACACTTCTTCTCGTGTTTGATATACTAGGGAGCTTAAACAACAACAACGGCAACGGCAACGAAAAAGTGAAGTCGCGTTAAACGTTATTGCACTTATTCGATCTCGTCCAACTCATCAAATGTGGGACATTTGGTCTGGAGTTGAATTCTAAAATACCATATCGAAGTGCACGACAAGAAAAACAAAGTCGTCTTATGCTCACGTCCTCCACAAAACGTGAAATAAGGCACTTTCACGTCGAAGTCGTGCAGTGACGGCAAAGACATGTACAAAAAAGCGTGATGCACGTGCATCATGTTGTATTGCCAATCTAAACCTATTGCTTTTTTGACGTTTTCGTTGACGTTGCCGTCTTCGTTGCTTAAGCTCCCTATTAAGTCGTAGATGGGAGGATATGACTAAGGCTAGCGTATCTCCATGCTTCTAGCCTTAACCTTTCACTGCCATATTTAGCCAAAAGCAAATTTCGACCAAATTTCCACATTTGATTTTGTGAAATTGTGGAAAATAAATAGCACCATGTGTAACTACAGGCAGAGAGGTTTCATTTGAATGGTCACATCATGGGATTTCGTCCGCAGACTCAAAAGTTAGAGTCACCTTACCAAACTCTATCAAGTACTCCGGCAGTGAAAGGGTTAAAAGAAAATCGCTTACACTAAACCTTACATTGTTGTCTTTAGCAATCCAATAAGCAACTCCTCTTCTCATCAGAGGCCACCAAGAAGGACGAGAACCAAACGTATGCTCGTTAGAAAGTTCCTTTTTAGGCTCTATCATTTTCAGCTAAAAAGGTATTTAGAAAATGGCGGCAATAATTAATCAGTAATCTAACATGACAATACAAACGGTAGCCTGCGTAAACCGGCGGGATTCTTGAGCCCGCGGAATTTTTTTGCGAGTCGTCGTCCGAAGTGAGCGGCGAAGCTGCGAGGGATTTTCGCGACTTCAAATTGACTTGTATACCACCCTTCTCGCGGCTCCGCCGACAAAACAATACAGCACTCCCACGCTTATCCCGCCAGCTACGCAGGCTATACAAACGGCAACAAAGCAGTGGAGCTTGAAGTAATTGATAAACTCTATCTCTGTTTAGAAGCTGTTATGATTAAGATGTTATTAAAGAAATTGAAACAGTTCTGCAGCCAGGCCATTATATTGTAAAAAGTGTTATACGTAGTGTAAGATGCACTTCGTCTCTTCCCTCTTTTTCCAGTTCCTTATTACGTATATATGTACTTTCTGTAACTTATAACAGTGTGATTGAATAAAATACAAGACAAAAAAAAAAGAAAAGAAAAAGAGAAAAAGAGAAAAAAACGCAAGCAATTCTCACTTAGGGACTAATGATGACCAGTGTCTTGGAAAAGACAGATTGCAATGGCGGGTTTAGGGAGGGGCGCGGACGCCCGCACCCCGTTATTTTTTAGAGTACGGGTCTGAAATGTGTAACCGGATCGATAGTTGTGTCAATAAGACAGAACTACCAAGGATTCTTTATGTTGGTGTACTAACCAGGAAAAAACAATATGAAAAAAACACGTCCCGCAGCATTTTTTACGTGGACAATGTGATTTGTTCCCTGTTTCATGTCTCTGGCAAACGTGTACTGTATGCTGCACGTGCTTTGGTCGCTTTTACATGTTGCCAGGTGCTACATGTTCCCAGTGACATGTCCCCTTGTGCTTCCTTACCTTTGCAGCGAAATCAATAAGAGACAAACACCTTTTACAAGGTCTCACTGACTACAATAAAATCTTCTGAGGTGTCAACTGTCGACGAGTGGAATAAATGGTCAAATTAATATTTAAAACATAACTAACACTATTTTTGTTTGTACGTGTGCCCTGTAATACCAATTTAAGAGGACAAATAGTTGTAAGAAAATAAAGAGGAACACTTTTCAAGGTAGTGAAGGAATTGTCCTTCCTGTCGCACGGAAGACCCTTGCTGATGTGTAATTTCTGTACTGTACACACGTACCTGCATTTCCCAAAGTTTTGATAAAAATGGCATCGGTTTGAAGGCCCTTTCTAACTGCTGGGTTTCCTTTTCAACATCTTTTGGACCTTCCCCCTCAGCTGACAAAGAGATTTGCTCATTAGGAAAGAAATTCATTCAAAGTTCAATTGATTTCTAGCAATGCTGTAGCATGGAAAGCGTTTCGAGTCTCAAACGATCAAATTTTTGCAAATATGAACGCCCACCTATGTTGCAAACTATCGGTTTGTGACAAATCGTAATGAAACGCCCACAGCTGTACATTATTTTCTGCATGTCTACTGGTAATTTGCCTTATTTATCTTGTTTTATTTGTTTTGAGTTTGCAACCTTTCCCCCTTTTGGGGGGGAAGGGGTGGGGCTTTCTCCATATAACCGCAGGCAAGCTAAAAGTTTGCTCGATTCTCTGAAGATCCGAGGTCCCTCCCTCGCTCGAACTCTCTAGAAAACGACCTCGCATTGTCTGCGAGTCAGATAGTAACAGCCTGTTATTCTCTCTCTCTTTCATCGAAAAATAGAGATATTTGAGATGAGCTACAACCCTGGTCAAACTCTTGGGACACTAACGCAATAGCTCGTCAAAATGACGCATTTTCCCTAATCCCTTTCCCCGGTATTGACTGAGGAGAGGGGGACAGCAGTGACAGGCTCTTACAACAACATTCTCGAGCCTTTATAAGAAGTAGACGACGTGTCCCAAGATGTTTTCGCCAGGGTTGTAGCTATAGCCTTTCACACAGAAATTTACAAAAGTATCAGGGACAAGCAACTTACGGTATGTTATATTTTGTTGATGCTCCTCAACATTCCAGATAGTGTTTGTTTGTTTGACAGACTTGTCGGTGCATACTTCAAGCTGACGGAACCCCCAGTCTGGTAATTCCATTCCTGAGATCTACAAAACGAGAGGAGACCTGTTAACGCCAATTTGCACGGCAAAACGTTGTGGCATACGGTGTGTTTACTACAAACCTGGGACACGCGTTGTAACGTGTAAATCAAGTCTAAAACTGCCTAGTGACTGTCGCCTTTTTCGACGTTAGGGTGTGTTACCCGAATGCAGAGTCTTATAAAGGCCTCACCACAAAACAAATCTAACGCCAGCATTAGCCTGAAATTCATCCGATTGCTTCGAGTCGTTTTCTCCTCTCAACAACGTCTGAATCGACCGGCCGTTAATGCCGTCCAGTGACGTCACTCACTACCCGAAAACCGGGTAGTGATTTTGATTGGTTGATTGTCTAAACATTCGCATAATTATGTATAATTATGAAAAATTTTAGCGGGATTGTCCCATCCCTGGCATTCTTTTGTGTAGTTCAAACATTTCGATAAGCTTAATCTTTATCTTAAACAGCAAAATTGCCCTTGTCTTCGAAACGGAAATGCTAAATTGAACTGCGAATGAAGAATCATTGCGGAGAGTCGGTAGGTTTTTCATTTGGAGCCGCTTTGTGGTTTCGGCTGCCGGTGATTTTGTTTACGCGAAGTTTTCTGAGATTAATGTTATAATTCGACCTGCTTGCTATTTTACCGTCAAGTGTAATGATTCTGTTAGCTTTTCTTTCTTGTCTCCTTGTTTTTTTTTCTTCGTTAAGGACCAAATAGCTTCTTTTCAATTAAAGCAAATCATTGTGTTTTTGACCTAAGTGTTCCGTGTGTGTGTTTATTTCACTGCGTGACCGCGACCGAGTTTGATTATAGAATTCAGTACAACCGGTTCAGAGTTGTACTGCGTGCAGTTGATAGTTTGAACGTTGAACATGAATTACGATCGAAAAAAATAAAGCAATTCTGTATCATGCTGACATTTCCAAACGATATTTCTCGCTTTGCCACTTGAAAATCGTGTTTTACTTTTTGCATGAATTAAAGCAAAGGTCAAATAGTAGTGACGTCACTGGACGGCATTAACAGCCGGTCGATTCAGACGTTACTGAGGGAGTAATAACGACTCGAAGTAATCGGATGAAATTCTGGCTAACGCCAGCATGAGAGTGAAAAGAAGAGAATGTATGCCATTGGGGTGCTAGAAGTCGAACAAGGCTCCTTTACTCCAATGGTATTTACTACCACCGAACGAATGGCAGGTGAATGCAAGAGGTATCACAGTAGACTGGCTGAACTTTTATCAAACAAGAAAGGAGAGGATTATAGTACTACAATTTCATGGATTCGCGTCAGTCTCATTCGCCCTCCTGAGGTCTGCGCTATTTTTAACTTGTGTTAGAGAGGCTCACGTTGTACGCGAAGAGCTGAACATTACAGATAACGACTTTGAAAATCGATAAGGAACCAGCGAGATTTTAGGATTAGAACTTTTAATATTTTTCACATTTAGGACAAGTAGGGGCTTTGAAATCGATCAGGGGAACTAGCGAGATTTTAGTATTAATACTTTTAATATTTATCACATTTAGGCTTGGTATTTTTTTAAATTCTTTTCCTACTATGATAATATTCTCATATGTTAATTAAGAAACCTTCGGAGCCTTTTAAGAATACATTTATATAAAAAGACTCAGCTTTTGTTAATGTAACTCCTTTTGTAGATTTCAGTTTACATTTTTGGTCTTAATACCTTCCATTTGCTAGTTTTTTATCCATTTTATATAGCTTTCCTCTCATCGACTTGTAACATTAGATATGTGTTTTTATCTAGTAATCAATAAAGAACTTATTTAATTCAGATTAAAAGTTAAAAAAGTTATTATTATCATTATTATTCTAACTATTATTACAGTTTATGAACTATATCAACGGTACAAGGGAACTGATTATTATGTTAACTAAACTAATTGCTTTTAGCGGATTTAGTGCATTGATTGGTTGTATAGAGCGGTTTTCACTTGACTGTCGTAAAACCAAAACCAAAGTAAATACACTAGCCAACCAAAGGACGTAGTAAAACCAAAACCAAAACCAAAACCAATCCCAATTCGACAGTCAAGTGAAAACCGCTCTAAGTAATAAACATCATAACAATGTGAAAGGCAACCCTAGGGCAATATTTTCTTCTATTGTTTTGTCGTTGTCGAGGACCTACTACTGACGCTTTTTTTAATAACTCAGCTAAACGGAAAGTTAGCCAAGGTTGTATGGTAACCACTTGATATTCCCGCCAACTAACCGAACGTTGCCCGAAAAGGAGCGTCAGGTTGCTTAGCATATTAAAAATGGCCACTTAATTTCCGCCTATTTTCTGACATCCGGAAATTCAACGCTCTAGTTGCACAGTTCATTAATACTTCAGTCGATTAGGTAAATAAAATTAAACAGCATTATATTAATCTTCCGTCATTAGGCTGCTAAAAATAATTCTCTTTTCTTGTTGTTTCACGTACAGAATGGGAAACTGCTTGCTTTAGGGAACACCTCTGTGAAATCGCATTGGTATTCTTTGGATCGTTCGGTCACAAGTTGCTAACTGAGTCGAGATCCATTTTGTCCTTAAATATCAATATGAAGACAGGCTTGTTGTTTCTCGTCAGCGTTTGCATGTATGCGGTCGCCGCAAATACTTTACGAACGAACAAAACCCATCGTGAAGTTGTAGTGAATCAACTTTGTCAGCATTCGGGTGCTAACACCCTCAAGGAAATCACTACGCAACTCAAAAAAGAATTTGAAACATTGAAGAAGGAACTTAACAAACTGATAAATCAGATAAAGATGAACAAGACGGAAAACAGAGGTATAGTTTTTGGTATTCAGACTTGGTGGACGAAAGCCAATGAATACGAACTAATTGATAATAGAACTGATAAAAGTTTATAATTCAATGCTAAGTGAGATCCTTAAGCTACCCAAAAGGAATTGTAGACAAGCCGTGGATCGCTCGTTTTTCTTACGCGAGGCAATGAATACGAACAAATTGATAATACGACTACTAAAGTCTTGCTAAGTGCATGGATCTTAAAAAAGCTTCCCAATCGCTTCCTCTCTTATGTGTTTGTATCGCTCTAAAAATGATAAGGTATTCCCTGAGTGGGGACACGTCATCGCAATGATCAAGTTTAGAAAGTTACACCGTCAATTTCAAACTTTAAATTTCCTCAGCTTAATCAAGGAACGTTTATCATTCCCTCCGCAGATAGCTAAAGAACAGCTAAAGAACTGTTAAAGAAGCCGACGATACTGACGGACAATGAACAGAAGAAAAATCTTAGCTTCCTCATAATTGTCCCGGAATTTTTGACTAAAAAAAGTAATCCGGGGAGTGGAGCGACTTTTAAAATAAACTGAAAAAATCTCCCTGAAGAATTCCTTTATTTCAAGCCAATGTGTTCAATCTAGTTGTATCAAAAACTGGATACCTATAGCAGTCGCTTTGTAAAAAAGACAGGTTTTTATTAATATATTTTGCATATTAGTATGGCTATTCATCTACAGCAAATGGACCACGTCGGCCACGTGTCAGATACAAGCTAAAAGAAAAGAAAATTAGCATACTAAGTTTATTGCTTAATTGATCTAAATCGGCTCGAGATGATTCTGTAAAATAATCTTCGCTTTACTTCAACGACTTTACTCAAAACATTTAATTTTCGCTTCTTTATAGACGGGTGGATAAAGCTGAATACAAACTTGGTGTGTTTTGGAGCCAAAGACAACCGGTTTGGCAAGTTCCTTGTTCCGTCCAGCGGCAAACTGGCATCAGTCAAACTGGTCCACGTGTATGGTTATGTGACGTGTGATACTAGCAAAGCTTACCATTGGTCTTATTGGGGATGCAACCAACACTCTAGAGTGAAAAACCATGTAGACGCTGTAATAACAACATCAAGCGGTAGCATTCTTTTGCCTTCGAGCCAGTTCATAACTGATGCACTGAAGTGGTCTTTGATTCCTGGTTACAACTCACTTTCTCCAGAGCTGGTTCTGTCTGCTTTCTCCAATCCTCTATCCGTGACTCGAGGACAGGAGCTTCGTTTGTGGTACGGCGAAGATTTGGTGAATAGCCATGAAAGCGACAATGGAGGAACATCGTGCTGTGATGTTTATGCTCGCCTGATATAAACGACGGGCATTTTAGCGATTTTTCTTACCAATGCAGAATAGCGTGATTGTAATGATGCTTATTAAATAAACTTAAGCTCATCGAGGGACTTTTAAAATAAATTTAATGGATTAAGGTTCTGTTATTCCTCGCTTATGAATGCGAACGCGAACTTAAAGCGAAGTCAGTAAAATAAATTTGAAACCTTACTTTTCATCTTCGACGCTTTTGTTTTTGGATATATCCCTGCATTCAGGTCAACGTCCCAATCAACACAGTGGGTGGGGATGGGGATGGGAGAGAAAGGAGAGAAGCCGGAAAAGTGAAAGGAGCGCCTCTCTCCCCAGTCGCCCTACCATTTCCCTTTCCTCCCTATCCTTTAACCCTTTCGACGCCTGCTACGCAAGCTACATTATTGCTGCGAACATAGCCAGGAGCTATCCTATTTAAGCTCAGATACCGCTTTCATTTTCATCGAGTGTTAGCGGAACATTTGCCCCACTTTTATGCCGTTCAAAAATTCAGCTGATCTTTGTAACGCTTGGTCAATTACGTACTTTACTAGTAGTAATCTCAGATTAGGAAGTGCGTTCGAGCTTTTTTAGGTTTACTGTCAAATGTGACATTAAGGCCATTTTTACGAGGAAAAATAAGACGCGAACTGTGCCATTTACACGAGCATGTCTTACCTAAGACGAAAACAGCTCGTATAAATGGTTTGCGTCTTATTTCTATTCTTGACTCGTTTTCATGTGAATATTGCCCGTAGCAAAGGCAACCCAACATGGCGCGCAGAAAATTAACGCATGCGTACTATCCGTTCGCGTCTTAAGTAAGACGCGAAAGTCATTTATAGAGTCTTTTCACATGACGTCACGGCGGCCATTTTGGTGTCCCAAAACAATGAAACGGCGGCCATGTTGGTGTCCCAAACCAATCCTCTGGGAGTTGAACTCTTTTCTTATGCAAACGCTTTCTTTTGTTCCAAAACATTTGCATAGATGCTGGGCACGTGAGCGAAAACACTCTATACGAAGTTTTTCTCGTCTTAGCTAAGACGCGTCTTATCTAAGAACAAGTGTAAGGGCTGTTGTAAAATAAGACGCGTCTAAGCTAAGTCGCGTCTTATTTTAGACGAAATGTGCCGTTTATACGAAAAGTTCGCGTCTTACGTAAGAAACGTCTTATTTTTGCTCGTATAAATGGCCCTATTATTTCCTAATAAATTGATGTTGCAAAACGCTTCCTATACGTTAAAAAAAAACGAAACAAAACAAAACAACTACGAAAAAAAGAAAAAAGTCTCACCCGTCGGGAGTCGAACCCGAGACCTTCCACGTGTAAGGGCAACGTGTTATCCATTGCCCCACGCAACCATTGCTAGTATCATTTTTCAAATTAATAACATGCTTGGTAGCCGCGCTATAATCGCGCCTTAAAGAAGAGACTGCGTTCTCCTTCGTCGAACGCAAAAACATGTAATAAAGTCTAAGCCAATAACAATAATCCTCCTTTTGAAGGGTGGGGCTGGGTGATTAAGAAAAAGTATTAAGAAACAACACCTGAAATGAATACTCTCCCATCAAGCTAAAAGTCTTATGTTTACAGCACGATACTCTTTGGTAGCAGACAACTTACGATTTCTAGAGTCAAAATGGAGCTTTAGCATCGACGACGGCGACGGGGACGGCAACGAAAACGTCACTTTCAAAATGAATTCGCGCTTCGGCAAAGTCATGAAGTGAAGCAAGGAAATGTTCAAAAAGGCGTGATGAACGCGCAAAGTTGTCGTTTTGCTTAACAAACCTATTGCTTTTTGACGATCTCGTTCCCGTCGTCGTCGTCGTTGCTAAAGCTCCCTAGTTAAATGGGAAAGACCTAAAAGAAAAATCTGACCGACTTCTGTATTCGCCATAAGTTTATCACGTTTTCTTCTATCGGGCCCGGAATGGAACAGTTATGTCTAAACAAGTAATGGCTCTAGGTGTGGATTTTTTGAAAAACACACCCTTAAAACTACTTTTTACCGTTTTTTCTTCGTCAGTCAAACAAACGGAATTTCAATATCCTTTTTAACATTGGAAAAACTCCATTCGCTGCCTTTAGGTGAACTTGCTAACGTTTCGCGAAGACAAACTCAAGCTACAAGTCTTGGATTCTCCACCCCCACCCTTGCAGAGTCTGCTTAATACCTTGCTGCAGGTCCGTACGTACGCGTGGACGAACGCTGACGTCATAACCAAATTTTCTCGCATGGATAGGTTTCCCATTTTTTCTTAGCTACGTAGCCTGTGTACAGACGCCCCCCTCCCCTCAGAAAAAATCGGGGAGAGAAACTCGTCCCTTGCCCCATTTTTTGTTTCTTTTTGAGGGGAGGGTGCGTCTGTACACAAGCTATTAGCTATAGGATTCCGCTGCGCGCGCTTCGCTCGAGCGGAGGCTCCGCTATTAATCTCATGGAATAGCCGTTAATGTAGATGGAAAGCTCTGTGAAGTTCTGTGAAGAAGTGGATGTCTCTCTAGATCTGACTTATTCAGCTTGGAAAAAAATATACTTTTGAAGATGACGTGAACTGGGGAAATACATAACTAAATGAACATTTGATCGTCCCAGTAGTGGAGCAATCCAAGCAATTGCAAATTAACCCGAAAAAAAATATATCACAGGGCTTCAACGGGATTCGAACCCATGGCCTCTGCGTTAGCGCTGCTGTGCTCTACCAGAAATCTATCAAATCAAATATTTGATATTAACAATCGCCGATAATCAACATTGCCAGTGACAGAGTACTTGTTCAAAATGTTGATAGAGAGCTATATGAACAATTTAAGCGACAGCCATAATGACAGGAATTTAATATGTTTGTCTTTGATATCTGCTGTAAACTTATGGCAGACCTTATTCACGATACCCTCATCTTTGCAAGCGCATCTTTGTTTATTCTAGACGGCAGAAAATGACGAACTTTTCATCTTGAAGACGATAATGAGTAAATTATGGCAGTGATCATTGTTACTCTTTTGGACGCATGCGCAGCAGGCGACCGTGAATGTTTTCATTCACCGGCGAAAAATGTCTGCGCATGCTCTACTAAAAATGACACGTGATCTATTTCGGGCAATGTCATTGGCTCTGAGGCAAAAATGCCGGTTGAGATGAAAAAAATAATGGCTGTTTTTTTGACAGTGA